CACTTCTGGACTTTTGTTTTACGCTGAAAACCCGAAACCGGAGTATCACACCATTCTCCAGCAAGACATAGATGAATTATTGGCTGACATTTCTAAACCTGCTGGCGAGGTAATAGCTTCATTTGATGTATTCATAGAAATTCTTTTCTACTATAAAACATTAAGGGAAATGAGTGTGTCGAGGGCCAGCAGGAACCAAAGTGTGGAAGCATGTTGAACTTTGCAAGACTCAAACTACTCACTGAAGGTTGTTCAGAGATAAAAAATGACGCGACAATACAAATGACTAGCGACCTGCTTATGTGAAACAATTGTACAACAATAGAAACCAGCATGGTAAATCTATCCGGAGGATGGGTCAGTCAAACCAAATTAAGACAAAGCGAAATCAAGTAGTATGAAGTTGCGCAAAAGTGAAGACGAGTGGGGACCTCGAGTAGATGACGGGACGGCTTTCATAGGTTGCTGATAGCACTGGCGACGTAATGCGGGGCATCGCCATAGCGGACCTCCCCTAAGCGTTCTTTAGCCCTTGTCGATATCCTGAGGATATCTGATATCCTTGAGGTCCGTCTCTAAATTACTGTCCTTGATTGAAAAGCGTATTTTAGGCAAGATATCAAAACTTAAGTTCTGGAGCGAATCCCGCAGTATGTTTTGTCTACTTTTAACATTATCTTTTTATTTTCTCAACTTTTCTTAAATTTTATTCCAAAATAAATTTTATGTTACATTTTTTTAGAGTGAAAGGCTTGGGGGTTCTTACTTCTCCTTTACCGTAAATAATTCAAGTCTGAAGAATGTCTGGATGTCGCAGTGCTGAGCTCACCTTCTCTCTTAATGTGTGCCTCGAGAAATGTCTGTGTGCTTTTATATTAGAAACTGGAAAAAGGAAGCAAGCATTGGCCATAACGATGGTAATATGCAAATCACTTTAAGAAACAATGCCATACCGCAGATCTAAAAAGAAAAGGAAAGCAGTAATGTGTGTGTGTGTGTGTGTATGTGTGTGTGTGTTATGTACCTGTGTGTATTTATGTACTGTATGTATAAGCATGTAGAGCGTTGGAATTCAAAGAAAGGGTTCGAAAATGTATGGTGGACGCCAGTGATTAGCACAAAACGCGTCAAATGATTTTCAGCTTGTAAAAAATGAAAACAGTTATTAACTTTAAAAGGCTAGCACTTTGTTTGCAACATCAGACGCTTTGAAAACCGAAGCCACCAAAACTGAAGCCCCCGTGCTTGGAAAAATCATGATTTTTTTAATGTTTTTAGAGAGATGCATTTCCGGAGCGCAGTGATATTCCTGAAGATAGCTCATTTTGTTCGATCTTCCCCAGAGTTTTGCTTGACGACGTAGCGCCAGCATCACAGTTCAGTCTGTCCGCGCCAGAAGAAGATTTGTATGTTTCTGAATTAGCCAAAGAAGCGCCTGTGCTACTCGAAACCGTCTGGGATGCAATTTTCAAACAGTATGACTTTCGACCACCTGTAATTTTGCATGCTGGAGCGGCGACCAGACAACCTTCACTTCAGTCAATGTCATGCGAAAAGACGGAGCGTTCAATGGCTGGAAACTACTGGTGCCCAGAAGCAAATGTTAGCAATTGCCAATTCTATTTTCAAGGGTTTTAATGCGCTTTTGCTACAGTAATCAATTACTGACGACGCGCATTGAGCAGATCCATGCGATTATGCGTTTTTGCAATATTTCGTGTTGCAATAAGATCGCTTTGAATCGCAGTAGCTAGAATTTTTGACTGGCGCTCGGAGTTCAGCAAGTCAGTTGTGCAACTAAGCCATACTTGGACAGGGGACATTCCGTTAAAAATCAGTTTTCCAGCTTCTCCGGTTCCCGCGTTAGTGGCTTTCGCGCCAAAAACACTTGCGAGGCGTGAGGACTACGTATTCTCGCTAAAACCTTTGCGCGGTCGCTTGCTAGGTCCAGACGTGCATGAAATTGGCAGCGCGGTCTTCGGGTAGCACTTGTCTAAGATCAATGCCGTGTGAAAAGAAGTAGCTTTCGTTAGCTCAAACTTTTGACACTTTGGTGCCCAGAAACAAATGTTAGCAGCTGCCATTCCTATTTTCGAGGGTTTTTATGCGCTTTTGATGTGCAGAGCTATAGTGCTGCGACGGTAATCAAAAACGCGCATTGGTAAGAGACTGTCTGTGTGTGTGCGTTAAGTCTGTACTTTATCCGTTTCGATTAGAGAACAGAAAAGCTAGAACGCTGAAACTTCAGAAGTGCATGTTCATCTTCTGTTTTAAAATTATCATTCGCGCACGTTCGGGCCTACGTACAGAAGCTTCGGAAAAATATGCAAATTTTTTGAAGGGAAAACGATCTCGGGAGCCAAGCAAAATAGAGGGTTGAAACTTTGCAAGAAATTCTCTGTACATGTGCGAGCTAAAAATATCCAATCCTACCTCCTTGTATTTGTGGTCGTCACTTATGGGCCCATAAAAATTTTGGCGAAAAAATTGCTGACTGAACAGATAGGTCATTTTCAAAGAATTACCAATAAAGGGAATTGTTCATTTCCTTCGTGCAAAATTCACAATGATTTACGCTAATAAGCGCAAAATGTAGATGTAAAGCAGCAATCCTTCATGCAGTTAACCATCTGAATACTTCAAGTCTGGTGCAAAAACGCAAGATGCACCGGCAAGCCTAATGCATTCCATCCTGGGTTTTTAATTATTTTCTTCTTCATAAGTACATCGTCTTTATAAACAGGCATACGAATAACTCAATTTTACCACTTTCGCATGTTATGCTGACGCGTAGGTTGATGCTTTAAGAACATTTGACATCTGGAAACAGTCTTTTCGGCGAAAATTATTCACCAGAATTACAGTGATGGAACTACCTATCACTTCTTGGCATGATCCAGCACATAGAGTCTTCTGACAAAATTGGGTCGCTGTCTAAATCAGTTTCTACCTCGTTCGCAATTGAATCTTTGTTCGCTTTCCCAACTTACGGCACTCTTTTTTCACTGGTGATTTTTGCTTTCTCAGTGATTCCCTTGCCTTTAAAATACTTTCTTTTTTAAAAGCAAGCGAGCAGGCGCTTCAGTTCCACTACGCAACGCGTATATTTTGTGGCCGAGTGGGTGTTTTGAGAATGTTTAGTATGTGGAGATAAATTACAATTTTTCCAAGCTAATTCTCTTGCTCAAATGGAAATAAGCTTAGCAAATGTGAAAGAACTTGAACACAATCAGGACGCTGCCCTTTGGTCACTTTGAAGAACAATTTGTTCTGCAAAATTTTTTTTTCGCAAAAGGCGGATGCATCGGGCTTACCTTTAATTCGGTATTCAGCATTACTAAAAAGAAAAACGATTAGTTACCAGCGACTTTGATATTATATTTCTCTGTTTTGCAGCCTACACACCCGATCGAGTTAAACAATTACATGCAGGACTGCACAGCTAATAGCGCCGATGGCCAGCCATCAATTCCGGAAGGGCATTATGTGACACCGACTACTGTAAGTAACGGTAACGAGTGTGCTGGTCGCAACCAAAACAGAACTCGCAATGGTAGACAACCCCACACATGCAGTTATTGCGGCAAAATCTTGCCTTTTGCTTCACGACTGAAGGAGCACTTGAAGAAGCACACTGGAGAGAAGACATACAACTGTAAGCAGTGCGATAAATGGTTCGGGAATATGGCACATTTACGGAGGCATTTTACAATTCACACCGGTGAAAAGCCGTACAAATGCAGCCGTTGCAGTTCGAGATTCGGTCAGAAAGCTCAGCTGGATGTGCACATGCGAATTCATACTGGCGAGAAGCCATACGTTTGCGAGCACTGCGATAAAAGGTTCAGAACTATTGGAAAATTTCGGAAGCATTATACAATTCATACTGGGGAAAAGCTGTACAAATGCAGCCATTGCAATTCGAGATTCAGGCAAAAAAATCATCTGAATGAGCACATGCGAATTCATACTGGCGAGAAGCCATACGGTTGCGAGCAATGCGATAAAAGATTCGGAAATATGGGAAATTTACGGAGGCATTATAGAATTCACACTGGGGAAAAGCCATACAAATGCCAGTTTTGCTACAAAATGATGAATGATCGAACTAACTTCATTCGGCATCAAAAAGTCCATATAGGGATAACCCACACAAATTCAAATTCTACTTTGTAAAAGCAATCAAAAAAGATGCAGCTTCCTCAGGCAGCCTTGAATAAATGCTACTTCTGAACTAGGAAGCTGTAATGGCAAAGATTACTAAAACTGCTCGGACGTCAGCGTGGATATCCCACTTTCGTAGTTTATTTGTACGCTTCCATATTACGAATGCAGCTACGCTAGGCTCTTCGATTCCATTTGTACTCACCGTCTATTCGATTTATGTACGCAAGTTTTATGGATGGACTCCGAGTAGTCAGTTACTTTCCTGAAGGCGCCATTCGCTAATCTTCCGGTTGTCAACAAACCAAGAAATATTCAGCGTCTGTCGTGAACAAATGATCAACAAGTTTTAATGTACATACTTCTGTACTTTGTGTCGTCCCTGCATACAGTTGGCATAGTGAGCAGCTGGAGAAGAATGTACACTCTAATTTCCCCGTTCCTCTATTCATATGGGGAATATGGCCAAACAGTTCATTTCAAATTGACCGGTATCTTTTAACTTTACTATCTTTTCCCCGAAATGGAATTCTGCATCTCCGAAGATCTGTATCTGTTTTCATAAATCGGCTTTCATCCTCTTCCCTTTCATCAAGAATTGCGTGTTGTAAGCTGAATTTAATGGTTCCGCAGGGGTAATGTTAAGTGTCAGCAAAATAATCTTTCCTTTCGATATTATTTGCCAGTTTCATTGCTCTTCTGATGCTTTATCAAACAGCAAGTGACTAATTACCAACGCGTACCAGCACTGCTGACGTGACTGTACTTCGCCTGGTTTCGTGAAGCAATAAGATAGTTATTTGTTCGAATAGCCGCTACTTTACCGTTTAATATCACGTTCGAATTGTTTCTATGGTGTTTTTCCTTTACCCATGGTTATCTAAAGCTATCTGATATTCCTTTATGTTATCTTTTTCCGACAAATTCGATTTGGCATCTCCGAAGATGCAATGTTTTCGCGTTTCAGCATTTATCAAAAAAAAGACATGCCAAAAATAGCATAATCACAAAGGCAACCACGGTGGCGCAGCCGGAACGTCGCCGGAATGTTCCCACAATGCTAAGCATGCTTTCGCTAGGCCCTTTGGTTCTGAATGCTTTTCTAAACTGATCTCATAAATTGCCCATATCTGCTGAGACGTATTTTCCAATTCTGCCCACCCCTAGCTGCATTAACAAAATAAAACTGCCATATGCTTGCAGTGCTGATACCTCCCTGGCCAAGTGCTGGGGCTGTGGTACCAACTCACCGAAAATTTTGGCGAGAAAATTGCCAACTCGGGAACCAGAAAAGCTAGAAAGCTGAGATTTTGAAGTTATGTCCTCCGCTCTCACAGAACTCAATGATTTCAAATTCAGCCTCCAGATACGCATGATTCTCGCGTACGGCCTCGTGAAGACGATCATGTAGACAAAACAATTTCTTCGGAAAAATAAGCTTAGAAGCAAAAACGTCAGCTTTGCTAAAGAACGCTGTGGTGAAGTGTGCCCAAGAACTGAACAGATCGCTAAGCATTCACTTGAAAAGCGCTGTTATGGACATACTACGTGTTTCCGAACGCTCATGTTTTATGATTCTTTTTATGCATATTTGCAGTGAGAAGGCACCTTTCCACTGATCACGATTTCAAATAATTTTACTGATAATGTTCATTAGCTTATTTCATTGCTAAACGGTTGCAGATACATCGGTATCCGGTGTCCAACAAACACTACTCCACAAGCTTTCTCGCTCAAAAAATGCCAATCAATGTGGATATTTCATGTTAATGATGCCGTCGAAAAACCTCCGTGCGCTGGGTCCCCTTCATCCGCTGGGAAATTTTTCCGATGAGAAACAATGCCCCGTATAATGATAAGAAGCTTATCGCCTCTCACACCCTGTCTGGGAATGTTATAACCATTAATAATGCTAATTTATTCGAAAAAAGTTAGATCTATCGCTGGCATATGCCTTCCCTCATCCCTCTTCCCTTACTTCATCTTTGCTCTCTATGGCTTGCGTGGATGGCAGTTTAATTGCGTCACTCATACTGCTGCATTAAAATATGTGACAAGGAAGCATACATGTAATTATTACAGTAAAATATTTCCTGATGTCCCATAGCTGAAGATTCAGCAAATTGGCGAGAGACCAACAACTACGAGCAGTGCCTTAAAAAGGCTGGAACAGCGGGAATATTAAGGAATCATTACAGAGTCATTACAAAGGAATTAAGGTGTCATTATTGTACAAAAGCCACTTAAATGCGTTTACTGCAATTCGAGCTTCACATGAAAAAGTGATTTGAAAGAGTGCATGCAAACTCATATTCGCGTAACGCCACACGACTGACTGCATGCGGCGAGGTAAAATACTTTGTTGACGTCACTGCCGAAATGTTTAATTTTTTGGCGCGTACCAGAGCTGCCGACATGGCCGTACATTTTCGCCTAGTTTCGTGAAGCAATAAGATAGTAAATTGTATGAATGGCCGCTGCTTTACAGTTTAATATCATGTTCAAATTGTTCTAAGGGTTCCTTTTTTTCTTTATCCATTTTTGTCTAAAACTATCTGGTATTCCTTAAAATATGTTTTTTTTTCTTTTCCCAGTAAATTCAATTTGACATCTCC